ATGGAAGCTTAAAGAATACCGTACCAACACAGGTGATGTTCTTGTCACTATGTTCCAAAATGTAAAGTAAATCACCCATTTCTTTTGACTTGCTTCAGTGTAAAATGAAAACTTATTTCTCAAGGCAAGAACTTTCTTCAATATGCATTTTTGTCTAAGAAGATCACATAAATTGAAATTTTTTGTACACATAATTTTCTTTTACCTCTTAAGCGGCCAGTTGTTTTCTTAAAATGCTTTAATAAATTAAAAGTAAAATTTTTTTTTAAAAAAACAAGCTTTTATTTAAATGCTCTAAAAAGAATAAAATAAACTTTTCTTTTGAAACTTTTTTTTTGCTATCAACTTATAAAGTCGTTACACAATTTATGATATAAAAACTTGTCGCGAGATTTAAGTACTCGTATTTACTTAGTTTGAATATTTTAAAAATTAAAATCAATCAGATCAAGTTATTTAATTTGCTGATTTATTTACACAGGTAAATCTCGCGACAAGCTTTTATTTCATAAATTGTGTAACGACTTTATAACAAAAAAAAAAGTTTTAAAAGAAAAGTTTATTTTATTCTTTTTAGAACATTTAAATAAAAGCTTGTTTTTTAAAAAGTTTTTTTTATTTTAAATTTATTTTTTACTTCTTAGCTATCGCTAGACAGAGGTTTCTAAGTCTGTTAATCTCATTCAACGCATCATCGTTGCGAGGTCATTTGCCAGTTAATTTTGAACAGTCCAGCTAAGGGGTACTCAACATTTTTCTCGCCAGGCGACATATATATGATAGATATTTCACTCGGGCGGCAACAAGAGGATAATGGGAAGGGGGGGTAGGGATAAACACGGTTAGACAACAAAAAAAAAAAAACATTGGACAAAACAAAATTAATTAAAATACTAAAACTCTTTTTTCTTCTTTTGCTTTTACTATAATACACTTATGGACAAAAAAATTTGCGCACCATGAAGGAGTCGTCAACATGAAACAAAATTTTACGTGCGCAATGACTACTTTAAAATAAGTAATAGATTAGAAAATCAAAGAAAATAGATCATTTATTTCAGAGAAAAAGTCAAAAGAGTAGATGATTTAAATTCCTGTTGAACCCCCTCTAGCGTGAATGCAAAATGCAAGACGATCGGGCATTGAGGCCTTCAAGTTCTACATGATGTCTTGAGACATTTCATTCCATATTTGCTGTAGCCTTGTCTCTAGTTCGTTCAAACTCGTGGGATGCCCAAATTGCCATCCCAAACGTTCCCAGATATGCTCGATTAGAGACAAATCTGGGGATCGGGCAGGCCAAGAAAGGGTAGTAACAGTGCGGAAAAAGTCTTGTGACACCCTTGTCATGTGAGGTCAAGCATTATCTTGTTCAAAAATGGCTCGTGGGAGAGTGGCAATACATTTGGTTGTAGGATGTCATGGACAAGACATGGCACCTCATACCATCACACCAGTTGTGGGAGAGGTGCGTCACTGTAAAGCAAAGGCATGATTGAGGCGTTCATCCACGAATCTCCACACACGAACACAATTGTTATCACTGCTGAGATTGAATCTGGATTCGTCACTAAAGACGATTTGCTTCCATTCCGCTGCAGTCCAGTTTCCTCGTGCGCGGCAACACTCCAAACGGAGGTGTCGATAGGTGGGCGTCAAGGGTAGCACACATAATGGGCTTCGTGATCCCAAATGTCCTTCAGTCAGATGCTTTTGTATGGTTCGAGAAGACACAGGGGCCCCTACTGAAAGTGCTATCTTTGCCTGGATGGCGGCTGATTAAGCAGTTGTCTGTACGCGTGCGTGCATTTCTTACGATGTGGCGGTCTTCTCGCTGACTAGTCTGTCGCGGGCATTTTGAGCCTGATCTTCGTGTAAATGACATCCCTCGGATACACTGGTCCCAACAAAATCAGTGCGGCCTACTTGACGATCTACTCGCCAGCTGAACACCCAGCTTCCCTCATGCCGATGATTCTCCCCCTCTCAAACTGCGACAGCTGCTCATATTGTCCTTGAAATTGCGTAATGACATGTCTACCTCAGCTCTTCCATTGTAAGCGATTCAACACACTCAAACAAGCTTTGGTTACCTGTTTCATACTCCATGTAGAACGACGTTAAACGTATTCTACCAGCTATACGTAATGCGCAATCACGCTGCCTTTCCAATCATTTGCATATCTTCCCGAGATGTATTTTCATGCCAAGTTTCGTTACGAGCTCACAATTATTTCTTGGTGCGCAATTTTTTTTGTCCAACAGTGTACTATATTAATGATGAAGAACATATTCTTTTTCAATCTGTAATTTTGAACCAAATTTTTTCACTTTTTGTGCAAAATTTGGATAATACTATTCTACAAACGAAAAAATATTTTCGTGCGATTGTATTTAAAAAGGAAGAAGTTTTAAAAGTTTTATTAAAAATTTTAATATTTTTGAAAAATCGTAAGAAAAAAGTTTCAGGCATTTTATTTTTTAAATGACTGAATTTAAAAGAGAAAAGTCTGAACTTTCTTGGTGCAGAATATCGATTCAATAACAAGAAAAAAATAAAAATTCATACGGAATGTGATTTAGGAATCATTTTTATTAAAACGCATCGATTTTGACTCATTTTAGAAAAAAATTGTAAAAAATAGAAAATATCATTATTTTTTAAAAGATTTATACCATATCGTGGCGAAATAAAGGATCTCTTCGATTAGATAACTATTATTTTGCTTTCGTTTGATAGAAAGAATAAGATGGCTTTTGAAAAAAGGTCGAAAAATCGGAACTTCTTTAAGCTAAATCCCATAAGCTGCTTGGCAGAATAAAAAGCTAACAGGGTTAAAAGGTTTTAAATTAATATCTTTTTAAATAATTGCAATATCGGAATATAAATAATCAAAACATGAATTGTCATCCACACTAAAAGAGTATACAAAATTTCAGCTCAATCGGTTGAAGACATCAGCTCTTTAAAATTGAGTTGCAAGATTCGACCCGAAAAAGTTACTTTAATTAATATCTACTCTATTGAAATTCGAAGGTAAGCAAACGTATGCGACTATACGACTAGGTATATATTTTCATGAACCGTACGACGCACAATCTTGCCGAAGCTACCAAAAGTTCGGGAATGATCAGAGGAATCCGTTTTAACCATTTATATCCCGAAAGAGCAATTAGTTAAAAAGATATTAATTAAAAACCTTAAAATGCAGAATTATTGCCATTTTTCCCGTCAGGTGGCGAAGTTCCAATTTTCCGACCTTTTTTTTTATCCCAGACATTTTTAAAACAGGATCTAATTTTTTTATGAGATTCAGACAAAAAATAATTACAGAATCGGAAGGATCATTTACTTCGCCCCGATACGGTATAATTTATTTTACAAAATAATGATATTTTCTATTTTTTACGATTTGTTCTAAAATGAGTCAAAATCGATACGTTTTTATGAAAATGATTTCTAAATCGTTCCGAATGCATTTTCTTTTACGTTAATGAAATGATACTCAACACTAATAAAATTCATGCATTTCTTTTTTCAAATCAGTCATTTAAAAAATAAAATGTCAAAAACTTTTTATGATTTTTCAAAAAATACTCAAAATTCTATTTAAATGCTTAATAATTTCTTTATTTATAAAAATAATCCCATGAAACTTTTTTTCGTGTGGAAAACAATATTATCTGTAATCTGTACAAAGATTGAAAAAAATTGCTTAAAAATTACGGTTTAAAAAATTATGTTTTTGGTTTTATACCTTTTTTGTGAGAAATATTTAGGCATTATTTTTGTTACATTTTTTTGTTTAAAAATTACCGTTGTTTGCATCGATGTATGAAGTTTGAAGGCATTAACTTAAAAATGAAGTCTGAAAATTTTTTTAAAACTTTAACAAATAACGCAATGCCAAATTGAATATCTCTTACTTTTATACATTTCAGCGGTCTTTTATTTCTTTTCCCCGAAGATTTCGTGGATTGGTCGCTTAGAGCACTGGATTAGTAACTTTTGTACCCGGGTTCGAAACAACACCATCGCTTAGTTTATATGATTTTTTTAAAAAAAATACTCAAAATTTTATTCGCGCTTTTAATAACTTCTCGCCAGCAATTTTGTAATTGAAAAGAAAAATTTATTTCATCACGACATAGTATTTTTTTTTTTTTTTACAAAATAACGATACTTTACATATTTTATGATTTTTTTCCCCAAAATGAATCTATATTTAGGCGTTTACATGAAAATGATTTTTAAAAAACTCATACTTTGATATTTTACAGTTAGTGATTTAAAAAAATTAAATAACGAAAACTTTTTTTACGAATTTTTTGTGTGCAATAATTCATTACTTTTTGCTCCACCATATGGTTGCACGTGTCAAGCTGCTTAAGAATCGATGAATGTTCACTTACCCGAGAGCTCTGATAGCGAGAGGGGAAGGGTAATTTTTTTGCATGGCAATATCTAATACGTTTAAAAGTTTTGTGCAACGCCGGGGGGAAATAAACCTGTCTGACAAAGAAAAGATGCGAAGATATTTCGAAACAGGGAATTTTAAGTTAAACACTCGTTAACAGTTCGAGCAACACTGGGCTAAGCGAAGGATGGGAAGGGGGTAGAAGTCATTTTGAAAAAGAGTACTAGAAGTGCTGATTTTGTGTAGGAAAGGGAAATTTTTAAAAGTCGAGAAAGCCCGTGTAACGCCAGACCATGCAGCTAGTCTTTTTTACTAATTGCGATATCAGAATATAAATGGTCAAAACATGCATAGTCATCCAAACTAAACCTATATACAAAATTTCAGCTTAATTGGTTGAAGACATCAGCTTTAAAATTGAGTTGCAAATTCTACCCGAACATTTTACATTGCAAGTTAAGTAAGAGCTTGTAAAATATAACATACTTTGTACGTATACAGAGTGGAAGTATTGTAAAATATATCTCACACATTGCACAAATCAAACGAATTTCAAAAACTTTTACATGAATAAATGATAATTGGAGGCGTGGGGTATCGATCCCGATACCTTTCGCATGCTAAGCGAAAGCTCTACCATCTGAGCTACGCTCCCGGTCGACACCCCTGTTATTGTAAACATGCTAGCCTTAACACCAGTATAAGATTTTTACAGTAACTAGGTCGATATCGGAATATAAATGGTCAAAACATGCATTGTCATTCAAACTAAACGTGTATACAAAATTTCAGCTCAATCGGTTGAAGACATCAGGTTCAAAATTGAGTTGCAAGATTCCACTCAAACATTTTACATTGCAAGTTAAATAAAAGCTTGTGTGTGTGTAAAAAATGGCATATTTTTTCATTGTATATAAGAATAATACTTAACAGAATACAGAATGGAAGCCTTTTATATTGATTTTCGATTTTAAAGTTTCACGGTATTTTTTATTTTGTGATTGTGGAACACAGAACACCTTAAATGTTTGCTTTTTATAAGTACACTCTGCTTGCTACGAAGAATTTTTGATTTATCCTAAAAGAATTTCTCTTCTTCCTACAAAGAAATTTGTGTTCGTACCTCTTTTTAAAAAGGTTGAAGATTTTGTGTGTATGGGTGCATATATACACTGCTGGCCACGCAAAATGCAACACCCTGAAGGAAGCATGCAAACCATGTGAAACTTACATCATGCGTTGGCGGCGATGAAATATACAAATTATTAGCATTATAGCTCAGATGCGCATCACGGGTAACCGTAGCGTCAACCGCAAGAGCTATGTAAGGGGAGAACAGATTGGAGATTTGAAGTACGGTAATTGTTTTTTGGTGTTTTTTATGTAAGATGTTTACCTATGCCTCGGTAAAGACATCGAGTACCTATTGTCTATGTTTCTGAATTCGACTGAGGAAGAATAGTACCCTATAGTGTGTGATTGCGGATTATTCTTCAAAGAAATCGGTCAACGTGTTGAACGAAACCAAGCAATTGTGATGCGGATCTGTCATCGCTGGATGCAGGAGGAAACGACGGACCCACGGGGCCGATCACACCCACCTCTTTACACCACTGCTAATGATGACAGGTGGATTGTGCGCATGACAGTGATGGATCACGCAGCCACATCATGAGCCATGACACAACAGATTCAGTCTGTTACGCATCATTCAGTGTCCGGAGTGGAATGTCCTTAAGGCGTTCATTGTTTCTTTTACCCTTGACTGGAAATGGCAGGTGTTTGCGCCACCTATGGGGTGATGGATAACGGAATGGAATGACATAGTGTTTGCTGATAAATCCCGCTCCTGCCTACAAAATCACGATGGTCGGATTTAAGTTTAGAGACACTGTGGTGAGAGGCTACTGAACTGTTGCGTTATGCATTCTCACACTGGTCCTGCGCCCTGTATCATGATTTTAGGTGGTATTGGATTTCACTGCTGCACCCCTCCAGTACGTATTGTCGGTACACTGAACAGCCCGCTCTACATCTCTCAGGTGTTGGAGCCTATGGTCCTTCAATAGATTTAGGGCTTTACGTCAGCCATATTCCAACAGGATAAAGCGCGATCACACGTGGCGTGCAATGTTCAAGAGTTCTTTATCCATCAGCTTGAATTGCTTTCTTGGCCTGCTTGTTCTCCAGATCTATAGCCATTCGAAAATGTGAGGTACATGTTTGCTCAACGACTGGCCCAGGATACATTATTCACTGTTTCACCAGATCAACTTTGGCACTATGTGAAAGCCGCATAAAATGCTGTACCCCAAGGATGCATCCAAAACCTCATTGATTCTGTGCCGAAGCGTGTGGTAGCGATTATAGCCAAATAGTGTGGCTACACTAACTTCTGATTTTGTCATCATCCGCGCGTCACAAGAGGCTGCAATTTCAATCATTTGATCTTTTTACAACACGTTATCTGCCAAATAAATTTCGCTGTGATACCTCTGGAGCTTCTTGGTGTTGCATTTTGTGTGACCAGCAATGTATAGGCACACACAATTTGAAGCACGGTGTAATACTAAGTCTTACAATGCAATGGGGACAAAATTATATCAGCATTTTTGGATATCTTTCCATTTTCATTTCTTCTCAAGCAACAAATTGCACATTTCCTTGCCAATCCCTGTTCTTTATCGAAAAAATGAAAAATTCTTAATGACTGCCTTCAATGAAAAGTTCCGGTCTTCACCACAAAGAAAATCCCGACTGAGAAATATTTCAGTAACATGAACAAACTGCCTCTTTTAAAAACACTAGTACTAATAATCTCACTATAAAAATTAAAAGTATGTACAAATCAAAGATAGAAAGAAGAAAGTATCATGGCCTGTACAGCGTACGGGCAAACTGGTTGCGGCCATCTTTCGGCAGCCCTTACGGTGTACCTTTAAAGGATTAAAATAGAAATTTTATGCATAATCTTATTCACAACAGCTTTTAAAACTTCAATCCTAAATAAATACTTACGCTCACTTATTTTTAAGAAATCCTATTAACATTTTTTTTGCGCAATCCGTTTATTAAAAAGGTTAACACAATGAGCTTGTAGAGAATTATTATTCTACAACTTTAAAAATTTCAGTTGTTCCAAACGTAGCGTAAAGCTACGGTCATATATATATATATATATATATATATATATATATATATATATATATATATATATATATATATATATATATATATCAATTTTAAACCTCTATAAAAGTAAAACTTAGGTGAAAGAGATGCTTGAATGGCTAGAAAAAAAAAAGATGCCGTCTGTCTGGGTCTAGGATTTTATATTTGATGGATGATTCGTAGCTGTAACCTGTGTCTAGTCTCGAAAGTAAATAGAATGGGGAAAAGGGACTTTTTTAGAACCAACTCACAGCAAAATCTTGAAGAAATGAAAATATTTTTGCTATTTTGTATAATTCAGAAAAAAAGGGAAATTGATGGTGCACAGACGGGAACTCTCTCTCACTCTCTTTTCAGTTTGGAAATGTTTGTCCCAGTTGATTTTTAACCAGTTTGAGTATTGACATTTATTAATAAAACTATTATTAATGAAGTTATTTTTGAAAATGTGTAACGTATAAGGAGCACAGATAACAGAATTAAATTCTTGTTCCTTTTTAAAAATTGATTGTATGTGTATATCATTATTTTAATGAATAAAGCTGTAACGAGTTCCTTTCGAGATCTTCAACTAATCCTGAAGGGAAAATTCTTTTCATACTTTATTTCGAGGGGGCAAATAGCGGCCCTGAAAGGATTCTTTTGCAACCCACCAAAACAACAACAAAAAAACTTAATAAACAGGAAAATGTTCTCTATGTTTAGGTCAACCTATATTTTAAAGAAAATATTTTCTTCCATGAAGATCAACAAGAATAAATAGAAATACAAGTTGGCGGACATTAAATTGCAGAGTATGATGAGAATTTCAACGAGTGATCTTACTCCTGATTTAAAAAAAAAGTACAAAAGTGTGATAGGGTGCATTTGTCTCCTTAAACTGATTTTAACTTAAATATGTTTATAGCTATATATCGTGGGCCTAATTATCAGACTGCGTAACTCCACCGGTATAACTGATTTGATATAGGAGTGCAACGCGTCAATCGCTTTTTGACGCGATTCCTTAATCCTTTTGTTTTGTCTACGCCATGCCTCAGTGCGCGCTCCACTTTAAATTTATTCCTCGATCAGTGTATAATCACTACTTTTTTTATTTCATAATAAAATTAGATTTTGAAGGGAGAGGTGGTGGCAAGATTTTAACATAAAATAAGTACAACAGAAAGTAATATTAATGTATTACACTTTCAAATATAAATTATTTACACTATTTTAAGCGTTTATTACACAAAATTTGTAACAATGGGTTACTTTTGCTGAGCAGAGATCCCGCAGAAAAAAAAACCAAAACAAAAAAAAAACTAATACTAATATACGTTATCCCCATTGCAACACATTATCGCACGATAAAAATATCAAAGTAAACCATATTATAATATTATCGCCTATCTTGGCGAACATAAGCAACAACTTGGCGCCTAGCCCTACTGTATCAAATTAGCATCCCAGATGGAGTTACGCAGTCTGATAATTAGACTAACGATATATTAAATTAGACCATCAAGTAAATTGAACAAATTGCAACTATCATTAAATTCTTATTTATTCAATTATTAATTTCTACTTTTTCTGTGATGCAAAATTAACTAACGAATGCTATTATTTTAAAAAGGTGCTGCCCTCCGGTATCCTCCACTTCCCATATGTGACCCTCGAGCCAAAACTATTCCCCACCCCCACATTATTTGATTCAAGAACCTCATTCTGTAAAAGAACCGTGATTTATACAAATAAACATTATTATTTATTGTCAAGTGAAACGAGGTAGCACGAGATAGAATTTAGAAAATAGGTGATAGAAGCTAAGTGACAGAATTTAGTAGAGAAAAAGTTAAGTTAGTTAGTGAAAATGCGTTATAGTTAAAATATGTTAAAATAAATTATATTTAAATCGTCGGTGATCCTGAGGAAAGGCATAACGAACTAAAGGGGATATAATTGCATTCAGTTAAATATTTGTAGTTACCAATAAGCAACAATAATTCATTATAAATATTTAAATTATGTAGAGATCAAATCTGATTTGCTTCACTTAGCTCATTGAGATTTAATTGAACGATAAAATTCCAAAAAATTCGGCGTATAAAGCGCACTTAAAAAATAAGATCGTTAGTTAGAAATGCGTTTGATATGTAGGTATAAAAGTGATAGCTTTAAAATTAAAAAAATAATAAAAAAAGTGTCGAGCCTTAAAAAAAAACAATAGATCTACGTTCATCGAAATACTGTTTATTTTTTAAAGAAAATTACATACCTTATGAGCTTAAAAAGTTGTTGCATTATACGTGTAATATTTTTCCAAAAGCCTGAGGATAGAGAGTGGATTACATTAACGTGTTTCGTTGTTGTTTCTAATGCCACCTGTCTGACGTAGTCAGATCGAGCCCCACGAAATTCATCGTGGCAAGAAGTACGTCTGTCGTTGACCTTGAGCACCATACAGGCGACAGTACGAATTAGCTTGGTGAAATTCCCCGAAGG